TGCTGTCGTCGTAGAAGCGGATGCAATCGTAGTGTGGTAGTAGTAGTACTAGTAGTAGTACTAGTAGTAGTAGTAGTAGTAGTAGTAGTAGTAGTAGTAGTAGTAGGAGAAGTGTTATTGCAATTACCATTCGTAGTAATAGTAGCAGTAGTATTATGACAACTTGTAGTATAGCCAGCAAGATAAGAAGAAGAACAAGTAGCAGCACTAGTAGTAGTAGGAGGAGTAGGAGTANNAGTAGTCGTCGTCGTAGTAGTAATTGCTGTAGCCGTGTTTGTGGCGGCAGGAGTCGCTGGCACGGCTATGGGAAGACTTGCATGCGAGTGACATATGTATATATGTACAAAAAATATGTGTGTGTGTGATATGTGTGTATATATGTACATAGTTGTTTAGTCATTTATGCGAATGGCAACAGCCTAACACCCTCAAGCGGTTCGGTCCGCAAGCATAGCCAGCTCGTCTGATACGAATTCGAACTGGGCCAGTGAGGCAACCAACTGTACACGGCTGAGGAACATCCCCAAAGCCCTGTGCGTTGCTGCGTGAGACATAGTTGGGTCGAGCTTCGAAACCCAGTGCATAAGTACGAAGGTTACTGACGTGGAGGTTCCTACATCTCGTGATCTGTGCAGTTGTGGTCCAGGGTTTTAGGATTTAGGCTTGCGGGCTTCGCTATACTGAACTTAGACCCCTAGCAAAAATTATAATTTTAGCTGCTTCTTAGGGTTTATAGTAACCAAAGATTAAAAATTATTTCTAAGTACCCCTAAGTTCGTGGCTGTCAATGTTATCCCGATGCTTTGAAGTCGTTATCTGCCCCGCCCATGACAATAATCGCAATGAGGTGAAATCACACTCGGGTAGAAACAGTCTCTGCGGCCTGCCTCGCTCTACGTGCGTCTAGGAATCGGGCCTTCAAGAACACTGAACCATTATGGAAATACGTTTTTTTCCAGACTCCACACAGGCTAGCCTTGGGGACTATAAAGGGGTTCAACAATGGTTCAACTGCCGCAACAAACGTTCAACCTTGCTTACTCGACAACTCAATAGCAGAACTCGTGAGGCAGATCACGCAGAAGACTTCTGTCGGCCCCCTGTTTTCAGGGTCCGGTCATCTCGTAAAGAGCAGAGCACTCAGCTACCTGCAGACATGTGGATGCGGTCTTCAGCTGAAAGAAACAACCGCCCCACACTACACAAGAGGGACATGCTAATGTAGAAGCCTTAGTAATTAGAATAGGGTTTTGGGGCCCATTATACTATAACTATAATAAGGCACCCCCGAAAATAGTATGGGTAAATTTTTTGGGCCCATATATTAAATACTTCAGCATGGCTGACATGAACCAAAAAGCTTTCAAACCTAATGACGGACTCTTGCTTCAATGGCGACTCTTATTAAGTTACCATCATGGATATTTTCCCAAAGGGTGCTATGTACTCCTATGGGGGATACTTTCCTAAATCATAATGGTAATTCCTAATATAGAAACCCTACCTTCTACTATATAGGTACTTTGGACCCTTTGGGTTATTAAGTTACCATCATGGCCATTTTGTGCTGAGGATTAGGCTATCTACTCTAGTCTATTCACAACAGTTGGTATCCGCCTAGACATTCCAGACGTTAACCGTAAACCTACCAATTCCTAAAGTGACCCAAGCCACCTTCAGACGCGCACACTCGAGAGCTCACGAACTTCTCAATTCAGGGACCGAGAGATCACAGGATGGTTTTGCTCCGAGCGAGGGGCGCGCTTTTTGAGGGACCCTGAATGCCACTTAGGATTTAGTTCTTGCTTATTCAGAGCACAAATCCCAACTCCCGGAAGTTTGAAGGGCGGAAGTGAAGCCTAATGTTCTGCTGTTAGGTATCATGAGAGTGGACGTTGCCGAACAGCTGTACTGCAGCAACCATAGCCACACACCTATCGCAAGACTAGCCGGATGTAGCTTGACTCGTGACGATCAGCAAGCACATGAATTGCAGCCGTCATGATTTTCCATGATGCACTCGTGGCAGGCACGGAAAAGATCTGCTTGCCAAGTATGCACGTACAAAACTCTGTACTGTACGACGCACACGAGGCAGCTGTCGGGGAGCTGAATGTAGCTACATCCCTGTACTGTACGACGCACACGAGGCAGCTGTCGGGGAGCTGAATGTAGCTACATCCCTTCAAAGGGTTCCGATGGCAGCGCAAACCCCACCGTGTGCTCACGATTTCAGAACGGAGGGCACGATGAAGTACAAGCAGGGGCTTGTACCAAACGTATACATAAAGACCACTAGCTTATACGCCAGGCGGTGTGCTTTTGCACAGTCGCCGGTAGCGAGCATATACAAAATTGCAATCAGGAAGAGGGAGTTCCATAAACCGCACACCAAAGCCAGGGATGCCTGCTGAGCCCAAAGAGCTTCCAACAGTCGATAGAACCCTGGCGGTGATAGCACGGCAACTAAGACAAACAACGTGGCTCGAAAGTTTCGGGCCCCCAACAAAACTGGAAGTGTCCGACGGCCCACTTTTGCATCACCCTCGAGGTCACGAAGGTCTTGGAGCAAAAAGGGAATCGAATAGTAGGCGGCGAATGTTACCGCCCAGTGCAACAGCGCTCTGCTGTCAGAAGACCGTCCGAGCGCCAAGCGCATGGAAACTTGAAGGTGGATCATGAAGATCATGGGCATAAACACGAACCCTCGAAAAATGAAGTTCTTATCCCAGCCAACTGTATAGCCGAAGGTTGCAAGAAAGCACAGCATGCAAGGGATGAGCAGAGAATAACAGTAGGACGCCGCAAGACAGGCTATGGCCACAAGTCCACAGCGAATCTTGCAACCTCGAACCTAGCATTCAGCACGGGGAAAAGCTTCAACCCGTATCTCCTAAACCCTAATCCCTAAACCCCTGAACCCCTAAATCTTGTTGAAGACTGTGGTCTGTTTGTGGTTCGAGCTTAGGGTTTGGGTTCAAACGTAAACCCTAAACCCCAAACCCTAAACCGTGATACGGGCCAGGAGTGTGGATTGCGGCTTGTTGGTTCGTTGCTTTTATGGGTTGGATGTTCACCTATCTGGTTCCTTGGTCTGGACCCCGTTTTATCTGCCTACCATAAAGCAGGAACCCTAAAGGGGTGCTAAGTAGCTATATAGTATATAACGCTTCTATATGAGGAATAATGAGAACCAGTAAGTTTTGGGACAGCAGTACCTAAGACCCTTTGAGAACAAGGATAACCCTAAACCCTAAACCCTAAACTTAAACCCTAAACCCTAAACCCTAAACCGTGCAAAAAACAACAAAACGACGCCCGGGAGCAGTCATCAAACCCCGTGGGATGGGCCGCCAGGGCTTGTCGACCATGTCCTCCTCAACACCGCTCCACTGGTTCACCTGGCTCCCTGTTCAGTCTATATTGAAAATGTTACGGTTTAGGGTTTAGGGTTTAGGGTTTTGGGTTTAGGGGTTAATGTTTAATCCTTATATTGGCTTTTATGATAACAAAAATGTAAAGATGTATCCAACAAGGACCCAGTCACGAGGTCGAACATCGACAAGTAGAGAAGGCCCATCATGGCGGCCGCAATGGTACCGCTCATCGTAGCTCCTGTGGTCGCAGAGGCGGTGGCGAGGTACATGACGACGATCGGCGTAGCGCCGGCATTGAGATTATCTTTGAGGAGGTAGACAAAGAGCGCGCACTCCTCCTGCACACGGTTGAGGACGTCTTTCTCTGATAGCCGGGCCTCGAGCACTTTTACGGGACTTTGCGGAGCCACATCGGAGTCTGTGTCGGAGTCATATGAAGCCAGACTTCGGGGGCTGGCCGTTGGTGCTTCTGAGGGCGCAGGCAGATCGTCGAAGGACTTCATCGCGATGACTTGGAGCTTTTCGCCGGCAACCGCTCTGGCCAACTTTGAGCCAAGCTGAACTCAAGGACTGTGCACCACCGTCTGCGTTATCAGATCCACCTAATTACAAGCACGGACCTCAAACGCAACAGCAACAGTGATCAGCCCGGCACAGAAGTGCTCAAGAGAGACTCCAGAGCGAATATTGATAGAAGCACTGAGTCTCTCTCTCTCTCTCTCTGCGCATGCGGTACCAGTTAAAATTTTTTGAGCTGCTGGCGATAAGAGTGACAATGAAAGGATCAACGAATCAACAGCAGTTTTGGGCACACGAACAGTTCGCAAAACACGAAGCCAACAGGGGCACAACAAGCAAATATGCTCAGCCTTGCTAAGATCTCCGTGAGGGTGAGGGAGGTCATCATGCTGCGGCACACTTGGGACCTAAAACAACAAGAGCCGTTCCACTGTGCCCGGGAGTGACATGGAGAATGCCTGCCTTGTTGGTGCCCTCATGTGGACGGGTTCACATTCTCCGTGACCTGGCAAAGCTGGCTACAAACTCTTTGCGAAGTATATAACCACAGTGTGTGCTTTGAAATAACCAGGGAGAAAAAGTATAGACTTTTATTTCATAATGGTTCCTTTAAGGAACAGGTCCCCAAACAAAATAAAGTATGGTACTCCAAAGCCCAGATTTCGAGCCACGTAGCTTAGCCTGAGCACCGTAAAAGGCCAGAAACCGCCTCTGCCCTTCTTCAACGGGTCCCCGGGCATGTGTATGAACTTCGACCTTAAAGTAGCTCTGTAATTAGGAACTCCTGTATGGGCACAGTATCATTGCATGAGCAGAAGGACCTTTGATCATGAATCATGAAGCAAACCTGCAAAAATTGGTTCCAGGAGCCTTGGCAGACCCTCGGCTAAGCCAAAGGGATGCCTTGAACTCGTAGTTAGGGCTTCTGGGTGATCGGTCGGGTCTATGAGGCTCGAGTACTGCGGGCGTGGATGTACTGCTTAGAGTCTAGGGTTTAGGGTTTAGGGTTTAGGGTTTAGGATTTAGGGTTTAGGGTTTAGGATTTAGGGTTTAGGGTTTAGGCTTTAGGATTTTGGGTTTAGGGTTGAGCCATTAAGCCGTCGGCAGGACTTAGCCAACAGACCCAGACAGGGTCCTGCTGTTTAGGGTCGAAGTTCGAGTCTCCTACTACACATCTGAATCCCTATGGGGATGCCAGGTTGGGAGCCTAGTCTTCGGTAAAGGAAACTACAGGTGGGGAGTTTAGGGTATATAGGGCTTCTATAACCTTCTATAAGGCTCCTATAACGGTAAGTACCCACCTGAAAATATCCTAGGTTTCGGAGGGGAGGGTGATAACGGACTAGGCTTTGGGTGCAGGGCCTTTGTGGTGCAGGGGCTTGGATTTTGGTGCCTTCACTTCCTCCATACCGTGGATTCTCCGAGGAATCGATGCCCTAAACCCGAATTAAACCCTAAACCCTGAGCCCTAAGCCCCCTAAAGCCTAGACCCTAAACCGGCTTCTGAGAAGATCCGGGAAAGTCGAGTATGGAGACTGAAACCATGCAATCTGGGGGTCCTAAACAGGTTCAGGGGTTTTGCGATTGCGGTAGGGTTTAGGGTTGGGGGCCTTACAAAATGAGAATAGGGTTTCTGTGGGTATATTATACTGTTATACTATAACGATAATTAGGAACCCGAAAATAGTGTTGGCAATTAGTTATTTAAGCGTTTGTATTACTAGGGCTTAAGGTTCGGGGTACGACTGACCATAGAAGGTCGCTACTTCCTTGACCAGCGTCAGGACGAAGTCTGCGCACTTCGCAGTTGAGATTTTCAAGTTTTCAAGGGCTCGGTGCCAGACCAAACTCTAACGCAGCGCCTTTACCCTGAATTAGGCTTCTTGTTGTGGTTCGGGCGTTAGGGTTTCGAAGATCAGGTTTCATGTAGGGGCCTTCAATACATTATAACTGTAGCATAAGACCTTCTTATTATAATTAGTAAGGCGCCTATATTAGGCATATTGAATCCGGGCGTGCCTTCTTGTACGTCTCGTCCAGGGCGCCGCGGGCTGCCTGCACGGCACATGTTTTCCAAGATAAACCTACGCTTTCACGACGCACACGGAGAAGATTCCTATTCCCAACTGTGCAGCTCTTTACGGGAGCAGTCAATACACAGAGATACCTCTGAAACCTGAAAGACCCTGGCTACTAAGGGAACTAAGCATATCGCATCTTGCCATTTTGACCACAGACTCAACTAGGGTCTCGAGGTTTAGGACTATGGGGCTGTAGGGTATGGGTTTCTGGGCTTTAAAGGTTTACAATGTACGAGATCTATCGGGTCTGGTTTAGAAGTGCGCAGTTCGGCTGTTTGACGTCTTGGCGAGATGATGGCCAAGGGCGCTGAAGAGCACTCCTGCTACCCTGAAACCATGCGTCGTACACAACCCTAAGCCCTAAACCCAAACAACGAGACCCTAAAACCTTCCCTAAAGACCGAAACTTTTAAATGAAAGCCCGGTACGCTGATCCTAAACAAAAGGCCAAACACAGTCAGTTTCTGGCCCACCTTTCACCCAAAGCCATCGTTCCGAGGATGTTGCTTCTATCTGGCACAGTCTCGACAAAACCTCAATGCCAAACACGAAAGCTCGAGGAATCACAAAAGCTCCGAGGCCTACTCACTAGTCCTACATCAGGAAACCCATCATTACACGCAAAATCCGCGATTGAACTTGTAAGTGTTACCCCTAAAAAAACTGCAAGTATTCTTACTGATGTCATTACTAGTCCTGCTATTCATATTATGACTATACTCGTGCTGTTTGACGTTTATTCTATTCATATTACTACTACTAGAACTAGTATTGCTAGTATTTCTAGTATTTCATAGTTACCGTTAATAGTTGTTACTGCTACTCGTGTTATTTATGTTACTGTAAATTCAAAAAAACTACTCTTAGAAGTGATTATTACTGTTGTTATTAAGTAAAAAACACTACACCCTAAACCCTATAGAGCTCTTGCTGAAAGAGCTGTGCTCCTCGGAGAAACGCTGGTTCTCCTGCGCGACGCGGCGCTGGAGCACCTTCACTCTTGAGGCTCCGGATTCGGGGGTGGACTGCTTTTAAAGGTCTATGACATTAGAGTCTATGACGGTTCTGTGTAGGGCATGTAGGGTTGAGGGTTTAGGGTTGTGGGGTGTCAGGTTGTAGGGTTTAGGGCTTTGAGGGCTTTTTTCCAAAGCAATCAGGTAGAGAGCCTCCCAACCTTGAGGGTTGTAGGGTTTAGGGTTTGGGATTGATTTTGGGTTTTGGAATCAGGCTTCGGATGTCCGCCTCAGGAACTCGAGTTTTGAGGTTTACGCTGTCGGCTCAGCTTTTCTGACCTTGAACAGCTCCGAATAATGGTTGGCGACCAAACTTCACTATTTTAGGGTTCCTTGTTATAATCATAGTATCATATACCCCCAAATCCAATTCTTGTACCAAGCCCCCTTGTATACATATATATATATACACATGTATATATATATATGTACACATCTCTATGTATATATATATATATGATCTACTTCTTTATTTACTACGAACCTCAAGCTAGATATAGTAATGCCTTGATGTCGTCTGAGCACGCTAAGACTCTGAGGTGACTATCGTTGTGTAGAAGGCAGTCTATGCGATTCTCACAGCAGGGTATATCGAAAACCAAAACCCTAAACCCTAAACCCTAAACCATAAAGCAACAGGTCTCTCTCAAGCCTCATCTGATTACAGCGAACCGCAGCTCATGCAGCAGGAAGAGTGAAGTGATGAAGGAAACTTCAGCGTTCAGGTTTAGGGTTGTTATGTGCACCATCCAGAAAAGAAGAAGCAAGTTCTGGATCGCCGGCATAAAACCCGGCGACAAAGCCTACCAAAAGCATTATACCCATCATCCTAAAGCCTTCGGAAACCGTGCATGTCAGCTCCTACACCATAAGGCAATGCAGTTGAGCTCGCACACCATAAACTGCAAGTTCGTCAAGACCCTAAACCCCTACACCCCCTCCCGATCCCTAAATCCTAAACCCTGTACCGTCAGCAACAAAGACGCACACACGCACAAACAAACAAATAAAACACACACACACACCTGGTGATTCCCGGTTGGAGCCGGTTATCAACTTATTATTCTTTCCGGTCGCCGTCCAGTTATTCAGCTAAAGGATTATGGAGCCTGACAGAGCTTGAACTTCTTGCAGAACGACAAACTTATTAGATACAATACTTCATGATCAACTGATTGCATCATCAAGATCTTTAAGATTGGGTCTCACGGCTGAGTATATATATATATATATATAATTCTCGGCAGGTAAAACTTTTTGCAGGTACAGGGCTATGCGTCCATAGCTCCCTCCACCTATTCCGCTGCCTTCGTTGGCTGGCATCACGGAATAGGCTGCCAGGCCCCTACAGTCTTGATCTGCTTTCAATCAATATAAACCACCCAACTCATTGTCTTTAGAAACAGGATTTCCACTCACACACACACACACACAATAGACAAGAGCTGGCGCCTCCCTCTGGACATGCGGCAGGTTGAAAGAGTGGACAAGTTCGCGCACAACAACCTCCGGCTCCTGCAGGGATGAGCTGCGGAGCTTCAGGCAAACACTTGAGCCCCGACTGCAACTCCTGACACTTTACGGCAGGCGGAGCTAGGTTTCAGCAGGGTTAAGGGCCTAAAGTTTCGGGGAGAGGGTTTGTTTTGGATATTGGCGAAGTGGTGAGGGCTTTGCTATTGTCGGTGCCGGCTGCGGTGCTATTGCGGCTGATGAACGGAATCATGTGGACGGAGCCGACGGAGATAAAGACGAATAATAGGATGATGATGATGATGATGATGATGATGATGCTGATGCTGATGCTGATGCTGATGCTGATGCTGATGATGATGATGATGATGATGATGATGAAGATGATGAAGATGAAGATGATGTGCATGTTTCAACAGACATCATGAATAACACATGATCAGAGTTAGCTGATAAACTATGTGATACACTGATGAACCATGCTCATCGTCATGACGACTGTGCACAAGGTGATGCAGATGTTGGTGGCGATGCTGGTGGTGATGCTGATGAGGAGGACCAGGAGTGCCGGGATGCAGGCGATGATTATGCTCAGGACTATCATGGCGGTGACAATCATGTAGACAAGACTGTGATGATGCTGTTAGTGAGGATGCTGGTGGTACATGCAGACATCACAAGAAAGAACATTGACATGGTTGATTTTGGTGGTAGTCGTGCTCGGGGTGGCGGTGGTGGTGCAGGTGGCGGTGATGGCAGTGGCCGTGGTGGTGGTGGCGGCCGTGGCGGTGGTGTGGCTGGTGATGGTGTGTAGATTGACATGACCATGATGACTCTGACAAGCACCAGGATGATGATGACGGTGCTGGTGTTCACGAAGAAGACCTGGAGAAGGCTTACCATGACTATGACTGTGGTCATGGCCATGACAATGATGATCTTCATACGGCGGACAATGATGCTGATACTCCCCTCCTCCCTTCTGGGACTTGTTTGTGTCACTTGTGGGAAAAGTGCTGACTGAACCTTTCGAGATCTGTGTCGAGGCTAGAATAGAATTCTCGGCCGAGGCTTTCGCGCTACATGCTCTGAAGAATCTAGGTCAACACGGAAAAGAGGGGTCCGTCCTGCGCAGAAGCCTCAAGCATGTCCACCACTTGGTTGATTTTCGCGGCCTGGCATAGGCATAGAGACTTGGCTTTAGATGGGCAGTTCTCTACATCAGTGTCCCTTTCAGGGCCCTTTTTATTCGGGTGGTGTCTCAGTTTGGTGATCCAAAAAAAGACCCTAATTTAGAGAAACTACCCAGATGTAGGGGGGTTCTATCAAAAAACTGGCTCAACTCTAAAGAATCTTTTCGACTGGCACAGGGAGTCACATGAAGCACTTAAAGGATCATGGGACTTAGTAAGTAGGGTTATAACTAAGGTAACCATACTTATAACCCCAATTAAAGGACTTATAGCCTTACTTACTAAGTCCCATGATCTTTTAAGCAGGGCAAGCTCAGTGTAGCAGCGTAGCATCTGGCATGGAGAGGCATTGGTATCCGTAATATACGGGCCTCAAGCATTAGAATCGGGCTTAACGGGTGGAGTACGCTATAACAAACCTTTAGCTCTAAACCCTAGACTAAACCCCCCCAAAAAAGGAGCCCTCAGGCCCCGAGGCATATCCTTCGCTCTTTCTTCGGGCTGTTTAACTATGCCCTAACTTATCACTGGGTTTAGGGTTGAGGGTTGGGCTCTGCCGCGGAGCAACGGCAATTTCAATTGTTTCTGGGAGTGCCGTCTAAAAGCAGCGAATGCTTGCTTGTCATCAGCCGTCCACAGCAACTGGATCGATAGCCGCACCCGTCGCCATAGTTGCAGTCGCAGCGGTACTGCTTGTTGCTGTTGTTGGTAGAAGCAGCAGTAGCATACAAGAGCAAATAATTAGTGCGGGCTCATACACTCGAGTGAAGCCAAACAACCTCAATCAAGTCTTGAGAACGCATTGATCAAATCCAATCCAAGAGTAGACAAAAACTCCTTGCCACCTGCCTGATCGCCACACAAAATTCAACCGCTCAATGCTAAATCCCTCAAACCTACAACACTGCCACTCTGACAACACACGCGATGAACGCCTTGAGACGCGCTTCGGTCAGTGCCCGGGACTGCGCAGCCTCGCCAAACAGCTTAGCTAGGGCCTCGATGTTGCTGACCGAATCCCAGACTCTAATGTAGGGGCCTGAATAATTAGAATAGGGTTTGGGGCTCCTTTTATGGTATGATTATAATAATAAGGGGCCCTAGCAATAATATTGGTAATCATTTAGGCTTCTATATAGCTCCAAAGCTGCGAGCCCTAAACCTTAAATTGAGCCTTAAACCCTAAATCCATCAACCCTACAGTCCTAAATCCCTAAACCCCAAACCCTAAATCCCTAAATCCCTAAACCCTGGACCCTACACCCCTAAGCCCTAAATCCTAAACCCCTAAACCCTGAGCCCCAAACCTGCTCAAGCTTCTGGGCTTCTTCACTGTCTAGGGCTTAAGTGTTCAGGATTTATCACCCTCATCTTGCCAACAGCAACATCATCATCATCATCATCACCATCATCATCACCATCACCACCACCATCATCATCATCAGCATCATCCTAAACCCTAGACCCCTAAACCCCTAAATCATCATCATCGCCGTCACAGTGGCGGAAACCCCGTCATGGAAACTTCTCAAGTCTTGGAGCCAGGTTTTTTTTTCACGGGTCCTGTAGGGGTTACGTTTTAAGGGATTCTTCAAAGGGTTCCTTGAAGACTCATGGGCAAGAGGTCGCAATACCGGTAAGTAGTCCAAACCAGGGGACTTTGGGCATCGCTCTGACTATGGATGTTGCAGTGGCCTTCAACAGAAGTAAGATTGGTGCCTAAGTACTTGGAGTAGGGTTTGGGGGGGTGGGGGGGGGGTGTATTGTGGGTTTAGGGTTTCGGCCTTCGGGTTTGCATAATTATGAATTATGTATCCGGAATCCCAAGGAATAGTACTGCTGGTTGATTGTTCCAGCTGCTGTATTCTCTATGCGAATGCTGCCGTGGCGAGCCTGCTCGACCGTATTGGTCAGCACCTCCTCGGCAAGTTCCAACATCGCAGACGTATGCGGGGGTCAAATATTTTTAGGCTTTGGTAACTCGGATAGGCTATAGCCGTTATAGCGTTCTAGCATGGTGATGACAAGGAACCCCGGAATAGCATTGCTTATATGTTAAGCATGGTGGTCCAGGTCCACTGTCTGCGGGACTGGGGCTTACACGTCCAGTTTCGTTGGGGTCTACCTGTAGTCTCCATTGTAGTTCCTTTTTTGGTTTAACAAATTTTATATTTAGGGTTTCATAAGGTAACCCAAAAAAAGGAACTACAATGGAGACCATAGGTAGAGGTTAACCTGGCAGCCCATGAGGGTGTGGGGTTTAGGGTACAGGTCGCTTCTTCCAGTACCGAGTAGTACCGTGATCCTGCCCTAAACCCTACCTTGAACTACCAAGACCTACTGTTGTGTAGGGTCCCTATAGATTCGATAGTAGGGTTTATAATAAGGACCTACAAAAAAGGTAGGCTATGGTAGTTCAAGGTAAGCCTTAAGCAGACAAAGGCGAAACCCACCGGTCCTCCAGATAGGAGTCGACAGTCCCTTGATGCACACCCATGATCTGGCGGAACATCTCATCCTCGCGATGTAGGGGCGTGTGGTTGCTATGCTGTCTTGATTTCGGGCAGTATCCCTAAGTGGACCTGTCATTCACGGAAATGGGATCATGTAGGCCATTTCTTGTCCCACTAGTCGCGGCTCTGTTGTCCTTGAACCGCTAAACCCTGCTGCAAACCCCCCAAAACTGGTACGCCTTTGGCTCTCTCGCTGTTTTGCTTCAGAAGCAGCCTAGATAATTGGTCGTCGGGTTCGAAAACGTGTATCGTATACCCTGAAATCAGTTCAGGGCACATCACTCCATAAACCAAAACCCAAAACTGTAAAGCTTAAGCACAAATAGATAACCCTGAAGCTTTACGCAATCCCATTGTACCGGTGGGGGTCTCTTTTTAGTCAGGGTTCTATATTATACTGTCCAACCCTGAAGCATTTAGAATCTCTTATATATACATGTATATTATATAGTGATTCTTCCGACTTCATAAGGCTCTACAACCCTCCAATGACTCTCTCTAAAACCCTAAACAACCTACTGAAAGGGGCCACATACGCCAATTAAAGAATACGAAGAGGGCCGCAAAAAACACTGGAATACCTAACAAACAAGGGACACCCCAAACCCTACTACCACGAGGAGGGCCACGGAATACCCTAATGTAGGGTTCAGGGTTTAGGGTTCAGGGTTCAGGGTTTGGGGTTTAGGTTCAGGGTTTAGGGTTTAGGATGCAGGAACCTGATTAAGAAACCCTGGTCGTCCTACAACCCCAAAATAATCGGAGAAATATAAAGAGCCCTGACAAAGATTCTAGATCAGGTTCCTATACATATCAGAGATTTCACGCAGCCCTTGCGGGAACCCTAAAGACCCAGGTTTCCATAATCAGATTCCCATACCTAAACCCCTATAAACCCTAAACCCCTTGCCCTTAACCCCACCTTACTACTACACCCCTGAAGCCCCCTGAACCCTACAACCCGAAACCCCGAAACCCCAATTTAGGGGCCTACAAATCACTAAACCCTAAACCGTAAACCGTGCCTTCAAATAGCCTACTGTAGAAACCTTAATAATTAGAATAGGGTTCTGGGGCCCATTATACTATAATTATCATAAGGAACCCCAAATAGTATATAGGTAATTAATTATTTAGGCTTCTACAATAAGCCCTAAACCCTAAACCTTAAATCCTAAACCCTGAACCCTGATAATAGTATAGGTAAGTATTAACCCAAAGGGTCCTATGTACTGTTATGGGGGGATACTTCCCTAAATCAGAATAGTAATTCCTAATTTTGAAACCCTAGATTCTGCTTTATAGGTACTTTGGACCCTTTGGGTAAGCTTCCCTAAACCCTAAACCCCTAAACCCTAAACTCCTAAACCCTAAACTCCCCACCTGCAGATTCCTCTAAGTTAAGGCCCCTACGATTGGAGATCCCCGGGTCCTCCCTGGCCCTCAGTCGCTCTTCTGCCTGACGGCGCCCGCTCTCCATGGCCTTGCCAGCAACGCGTTTCGGGCTCATAGGGCGTTTAGGGTTTAGGGCTTAGGGTGTTTAGGGTTTAGGGTTTTGGGGTGTTTACGGTTTAGGGCTTAGGGCTTAGAGTGTTTGGGGGTTTAGGGTTTAGGGTGTTTAGGGCTTCGGGGTTTAGGGTTTAGGGTTTTGGGGTGTTTAGGGTTTAGGGCGTAGGGCTTAGGGTGTTTGGAGGTTTAGGGTTTTGGGGTATTTAGGCTTTTTGGCGCAGGGCTTCGGGGTTTAGGGTTTTGGAGTTAGGCTTTAGGCGTGCTTAGGGCTTAGGGTTTGGGGTGCTTAGGGTTTACGGCTTAGTGGGGCTTAGGGTGTTTGGGGGTTTAGGGCTTAGGGTGTTTAGGGCTTAGGGTGTTTGGCGCTTAGGGTGTTTGGGGCTTTGGGTGTCGGGGTGTTTAGGGTTTGGGGTTTAGGGCTTTTGGCGTAGGGCTTCGGGGTTTAGGGGGTTAGGGTTTTGGGGTGCTTGGGGTTTAGGGTTTAGGGCTTAGGGCTTCGGGGGTTTAGGGTTTAGGGTGTTTAGGGCTTAGGGCTTATAGGGTATTGGGGTTTAGGGTCTAGGGTGTTTAGGGTTTTAGGGTGTTTAGGGCTTAGGGCTCAGGGTTCAGGGGTTTAGGGGTTTAGGCGATTGAGGGTTTACGGTGTTTGGGGTTTAGGCGATTAGGGGTTTACGGTGTTTGGGGTTAGGGCTTTGGGGTGTTAGGGTTTAGGGCTAGGCCTTAGGGGTTTAGGGGGTTTGAGGAGTATAGGGTTGAGGTCTAGGGTTTCGGTTTACGGTTCAAAACCCCAAAACCCCTAAACCCCAAACGCTGAACCCCTAAACCCCGAACCCCTGAGCCCCTAAACCCTAAAACCCCTGAGCCCCTAAATCCTAAAACCCCTAAACCCTAAACCCCTGAAGCCCTGAGACCCTAAACCCTAAACCCCAAAAAACATCCCGGATCCTTCAAAAACTCGCTGACAGACGCAGTTCGCCTGCCGGTCCTGTCGATCCCGTTCCGCCAGCTTCCTGAGCAACGCTTGGAACCCCGAAGGCTCCGAAAGTGGCGGGTTTAGGGTTTAGGGTTTAAGGTTTAGGGTTTAGGGTTTAGGGGTTAGGGGTTTAGGGTTTAGGGTTTATAGGGTTTAGGGTTTAGGGTTTAGGGTTTAGGGTTGCCTTGACGGTTAGGAACTAAGCTCTCCTGCCCTCCTAAGACCCTCATTCTAAACTATAGGGTTTAGGGTTTAGGGTTTAGGATTTTGGGTAGAGTTTGCGGGTTTAGGGCTGAGGGTTTTGGGTCTAGGGTTTAGGGTAAGGCTCTCAACAGGGCTTTGGAGTGCATTTGGCTATGATTACAGTCTAAGGTTAGAAGTGCGGGCCCCTAATATGGACACTTAGGCCTTTCTAGGGACCCTTAAGGGTACATACAAGCTATATGGTAGGTGTATAGGGATCGCAGTGAAGGGCCTATACTAGGGGCCATGGTTTCAACCTTAGATACCAGGGGGGGGGCCACAAGGAAACAAGGAGCCTTCACATGGGATCGTCGGTCAACGAATGTTGGAGTCGGGCTTTACGGGTTTAGGGTTTAGGGTTTAGGGTTGAGGGTTTAGGGGTTTTGGTTCAAACGATAGATCGGAATCATTCATCAGTACAGTACATGATTGCTTGTACTCTTTTTGCCGGTACGTTGTTGAACCCTCAAGCCCTATCATTGAAGCTGTGGCCTTGCACTTTGGGTGTTGGCTTTAGGGCTTTCGGATGCACTTTGAATCGAACTACAATCGAGCTGAACCCTGTATCAGGAAGCCCCATCAAAAGATCCCACGGTCCTATACATAAGGAGCATATATCTCAATAATGAGGGACTACATGGAGGGATCCGTCATATGACTTAAGGTACGGTTGATGACATAAATCCTGAACTACCCATAACAAGGAATATACCTTAATTTCCATTGTAGTTTAGGGTCCTTAAGGTACTGCGGGATGTATATCATCAACAGAATATCTGGAGTATGGGACTGCCGGGTCCCCCTATGCCGCGGGTCACTCCCGAACTCTGCAGCAGGGCATGGAAACTCCAAACCGCAAGGAAACTTGGCCTATCGTAACTCCAATCGTGTTTTTCGGGTGCGTTGTTTAACAAGCACAAACTTGGCTGACTTCTGAACCCCTCCAAACAGTTAAACTTTTAGTCTCCTTATTATAGTTCATGTAGAAACCCCAAAAAGTTAAAGTCTAAAGAGCCAACCAGACGAACGCCAAGCAAATATAGACATATTTGGGGATTATGAGCGGAATCAGCTCATTCTAACTCCCCTACACCCTCAAGCCGAAACCCAAAGCTCTAAACCCTAAACCCTAAAGCCCAAACCCTCCTTCAAGAGGCTACACTACATGGGTGGTTGTCAAAACTAGGGTCCCTTTTTGGGTCCTTATTATAATACGGCACCTAATAGTTAGGGTACCCAAAAAGGGACCATAATTTTGACAACCGCCCACATGTCATTTGCATTGTAAATGAAGGATATCAGAGACCGGAGCCCCGTCGCTTCTAATTTAGAAACTTTCGGGTTTCGGGGTTTGGGGTTTAGGGGTTTAGGGGTTTGGGGGGTTTAGGGTTTAGGGCGGGGTTTAGGGTTTAGGGGTTAGGGGTGTAGGGTTTAAGGGTCAAGGGTTTAGGGGTTTAGGGTTAAAGCCGTAAACCTGAGGCATATAGACCCTCAACATCCCTCGGCCCTAGAACCAAAGTCCTCAAACCCCAAACCCCAAACCCTATATTAATTAGGGGCCGTAATAATTAGAATAGGGTTTTGGGCCCCATTATGCTGTAATTATGAATCCCTAAAATAATATTGGTACTTATTTAGGCTTCCTTTTTTCACGTGAACCGAACCCTAAGCGCCAACTGCCATCCAGCTTCACCATGGCAGCGATTCGACGTTCCTCTTGGAATCGGAGCAGCTCCTCGATATGGTGAGGTGTATAGGATATAGGGTTTGGGGTCATGGTGTTTAGGGAGTTTAGGGTTACAGGGTTTGCGGCTTGGGGTTTGTAGGATCTACTGTTACAAAGAGTATAGAATCTAGAGATACTTGTGGGTTTCAGGGCTATAGGACTCAGTGGGGTTATCATGTTTGGGGGCACGAAGCCTCCACTCTGAAATTCGCAGGAATGCCCGAACCTTCAACCCTGAAACTTGATGAACGCAGGGGCCCTATCATGATTAGAACAGGGTTTCGGGGTATAGTGATACCATACTACAGCCATACATTAGGGACTATATGGGTAGTTCATCGGTAGTTCTGCACATTAGGGTCCCCTGTTAAGCCCACAGTATGGTACAGCACCCTTATCAAAAAGCCCTAAAAGGGACCCCAGTCTAGAGAACTATCCATATACAGAGGATACGATTACGAAATCTGCCGACTTCATAGGCAGCACCATTCACCTCCTTCGTAATGTCAATGCTATCGCGTCGATGCCAATCACGACACTTCGAAGTCACACCGCCGGCAATCATTGACTCGAACTGCAGGCAGCTCAAGCTCTGCATGGGGCTGTAATCTCCAGTCCGTCTTAGTCGATGAATCCAAGATCCAGATTGCGATGGCGAAGGTTAATTCCCAGGAGCGTGGAGATGGAAACAGTTCCCGGCGACATAACCTGTGGAGCACGCGTTGTGAAGGCGGCACCAGCGTTGATGTTGAACATCTCATAGTTGCACTTCTTTGCGATCAGGGAGGACAGGTCCAGCGAAGGTACCATACTCTCAAAATCGATGACTCGAAACCCGTGATTCGTCGAGTCTGACTGAGCTCCTGTGTAGAGGAATCCCAAGACCTCATTCTGTAGGTTTTAGTGTTGAGGTTGGCGTAACCCAAGGTCCACTTAGCTTGGTTTAGGGTTTAGGGGCTTAGAGTTTAGGGGAAACCCGAAAACCCTAAACCGCTGCTCTACTCAAGATGCAGAATTAGGGCTGCTATGAGCTGGTTCCTGAAAGCTCGAACCTCTCAACGCACCCTGATAGGGTTTAGGGTTTAGTGGCCTTTGAAGCCACGGGTGTTGACGGCGTATGCTTGCGTCTCCCACCAGAAATTGGTATTTTGTACTAAGGATCTTACACAAACATGCTCTCCCCACGGACACAACCTTCAAGTTTCCCCACTTCTAGACCCTAGAGTCCTAAGCCCCAGACCCCAAAGCCCTGTACCTTGAAGCAACAAACCCAAATGACCGCCCAAGAGAGCGCCCTGCAGCCCTAAACCCTAAACCC